ATATCTCTAGGTCAGGCAGTACAACTAAGGTCCTTTCAGTTATCAGACTCTCCTGGTGCTTCGATCTATGTAAATATAGTCCTCTATAAGTAAGAGATGTCTTGATGTGTTTTTGCTGCAGGAAATGCCAAATTCCAATGTTTGCTTGTTATTCATATGCAAAAACTGCTTCAGTAATTGCGTATGCCTATAAAGATTTTTTTACAAATAAGGTATATTTTTGCAATTTCTTTTAAAATCCCTAGGTCAGGTATAACTAGATATATTGGAGTATGGAATTCATTTTGGACAGTAGTTGATACAAATTGCACTAGTTTTCCAAAGCGAAGTTTTGTTTCAAGTTTCTGATCAAACTCATTTTCCAAAGTGGTAACCTACTTTGCTTTTACAACAAATCTGGAAGTAGATTTATCACAAAAAAATTGGCACTTATTATAAATATTTGGTCATACTGCCCATGATTTAACTGGTTTTATATCACAGCAAATAACCTTAACAGACCATATTGAACCACTGCAACGCTACTGTCCATTAACAAGTTACTTAGAAATGTCTTTTGTATTTAAAAACTTGAAAATGGGTGTTTTACTTTTATTGTGCCTAAAAAGACAAGCTTAATTTGCAAACTTTTCAAACAGACACCTTGATGTATAGTCACTTTTCTTAATATTTTGATCTGGCACATAGTCAGGATTTTATGGCCAGGCCAGCCTCCAGAGTGATATATTTTACACTAGCATTAACTACAGCAACTCAATTTACACTCAATGTAATTAGTACGTAAAAACATCGAATGTTTTATCTGTGTGGGCTGCTCATAAGCTAACAGAAATTTAAGGATTCTGATTGCATTCTCAGGAAGAATCGGTGCTGCGTCCACTGCTTTTTGTTATTTATATAAATGATTTGGATGTGAATATAGGAGGTATGATTAGTAGGTTTGCAAATGACACCAAAATTGGTGGTGTAGTGGACAGCGAAGAAGGTCACATCAGAGTACAACAGGATTATAATCAGATGGGCAAATAGTCTGAGGAGTGGCAGATGGAGGTTAATTTAGATAAATGCGAGGTGCTGCATTTTGGTAAAGAAAATCAGGGCAGGAATTATGCACTTAATGATAAGGTCCTGGAAAGTGTTGCTGAACAAAGAGAACTTGGGATGCAGCTTTATAGTTCCTTGAAAGTGGAGTCACTCGTAGACAAGATAGTGAAGAAGGCATTTGGTGCGCTTGCCTTTATTGGTCAGTGCATTGACTATAGGAGTTGGGAGGTCACGTTGGAGCTGTATAGTACATTGGTTAGGCCACTTTTAGAATACTGCATTCAATTCTGGTCTCCCTGCTATATGAAATATGTTGTTAAACTTGAAAGGGTTCAGAGAAGATTTTACAAGGATTTTGCCAGAGTTGGAAGGTTTGAACTATAGGGAGAGGCTGAAAAGGTTGGGGCTATCTTCCCTCCTGAGTCAGAGGCTGAGGGGTGACCATTTAGAGGTTTATAAAATCATGAGGGGCATTGATAGGGTGAATAGCCAAAGTCTTTTCTCCAGTGTAGGGGAGTCCAAATCTAAAGGACATTGGTTTAAGGTAAGAGGGGAAAAAGGGGCAACTTTTTCACGCAGATGGTGGTGCATGTATGGAATGAACTGCTACAGGAAGTGGTAGAGGCTGGTACAATGACAACATTTAAAAGGCATCTGGATAGGTACCTGAATAGGAAGGATTTAGAGGGATTTGGCCAAATGCTGGCAAATAAGACTAGATCAGTTTAGATTATCTGGTTGGCATGGGTGAGTTGGACCAAAGGGTCTGTTTCTGTGCTGTATATCTTTATGACTGTATGCATGATGAGGGAATTGGAGCTACGATTCAATCATCCTACTAGCCTTGTCCTTCTCACAGACACAAGCAGCCCTAAAATCTTGCATTGCTGCATCAACATTCTTTCAATTCCATGTTATAAGGAGTAAGACTGCGGAGATGGGATTTTCAATTTTCCTGTACTGTAGGTTTTGCTCCATAGACTCATTCCTACCAGAATTCTTTAGAATTTTCAAATTCAGTTAACTACAACAGATAATTCAATATGTAGGTGTCACTGAATGAAACTAACCAAATTTCTCACTTTTCCTCTCATGAAATCAATGTTGTTTAGTGGCCTGCAGATCCCAGAGTCCCAGACTGCCTCAAACAGGCATAAAAGAAGCCATACCAATACTTTGATGAAGATTAGATCAGTTATCCCCAAATTGTTGGTCTATATTTATCTCTCAATCAACTTCACAAAGATATCATCAGATTGTTGTTTGTGGGAGGTCATTGTAGCCAAATTGCTTGTAATGTTTTCCATACCACAACAATGACAATACTTCAAAAAGTGCTTCTTTGACTGAACGGAGCCATAAGAAAGCCTTTGGTCAGAGAAAGGTAATAAAATAAAGTCTTTATTTTCTCTCTTATTATACCAATTAATTGAAATGAGACAGATTGCAACTGCTGCACTTTACATAACATGAAGCAACTTAACAAAACAGTTTTAGCCTCATAACCCTCTTACGTCTTCAGACTTCAGAGAGATGCTGTAAAGATTGGAGTCTGATGTATGACAACACATATGAATGGTATGAAGGTGCTGGTATTGGACCAGGGTGGACAAAGTCAGGAGTCACACGACACCAGGTTACAGTCCAACAGGTTTATTTGAAATCACAAGCTGTCGGGTAACGAAGGAGAATTGCTCCAAAAGCTTGTGATTTTAAATAAATACATATGCAAGACTATGCTACACTGAAGGGGATGTTGAAGTTGTATTAAAGTCTCTCAATTAAGTTATCATAGAGTTTAACATTGGACAGTGCAGATGAATGTGAGCATAAAAAGGATGTGGCATCCTATGACGTCATTGAATGACCATGCGGAACACAAGACTTCCTCCATTATAGATTTGTATTAATTAGGGGCCCAGATTAGGTATTCAAATTGGACTCTTCCATCTAGTTTGCAATTACATTCTACACCAGAAACTACATTTACACCAATGTTTAAAACTTTTATACCTATGCTTTACTGTAACCGAAAATACATTATACCAATGAGTTGAACTATATGACTATATGGCCAAGCACAATTATAGTCACAAGACCTCTCCTTTTTACGTAAGTATTAATTATCTTTATTTTACCGTAAATTGATAATTTGCTGAATTCAAAAGACCTTCATTTCATTGATAGATGATAAAAGCTTCAAACAGCAGCCAAGGGGTAACTTGGGTTCTGTGCTGACAATTGTACAGAAAGTAATTATATTTCGAGCTCCTTCCCTCCAGACTTGTTACAGAACTGCAGCAACTAAATAAGGGGGTACAAGGAGCCAATTAAAAAAACTAATGAGAACTTGTTAAAGAGTAAGTACTTTCCTGTGAAGTGTTTATAATGATAATTTTAATCTTCACTGTCTTTATCTCTAGCAATTTCAGTTAATTCAATTTGTACGGACAAGTCCATTTCCCTGCAGTGGAACTAATACGTAATACATCAGTGTTTTCTATACAAAAGATTAGTAAGCTATCCAAATGCAATCATTAATTTTGAAATTATTATCCTGGTGCATACTTTGGACAGCCGTATGCAGTCCTTACAGAGCACCAAATGCAACCTTAATTTTACAAAGTTGGCACCAATTGAACAGAACAGGGTAGTCTCTAAGAATGGGTGTTCTTTTCACCAAGTACCTAGCTGATTCACTTCAGTAGGCAATTAATGGTCAATCATTTTTATAGCCAAGTATTAAAGATGCTGGAGATCCCAAATTAAAACAGAAAGTGATGGAGAAACTCAGCAGGTTTTGTACAATCATATCAGACTCAAAACATTAACATTATTTCTTTCTTCACAGATGCTGCCAGACCCGAGTTTTTCTAGTGCATTCAATGTTTAAAGCTGTCATGACGTCCCATAAGGATATAAATGCCCATCTTCCAATTCTTTCCTTTGTCTGCAGTTGATGGAAGCTGTTTCGGATGTCACAGGATGAGAAATTATAATATTTTAACTGGACTTACCTCCAGAACGGGCACATCACCATCACTGAGACAACGGTCTTGCACCGTTCAAAACAATGAAAACCACATTTTTGAGATGTCTTGGAAACAAAGTTAGTGTAATAGTATATCCACATTTCTCACTAGCATTCATTTCCTTTAAGAGTTAATGAAAGCCAAAGGATTGAGAGAGAATTTTCTAACCGCATTTTCCATTGCTAACGAATAAGAGGCGTTTGGGTGGGTGAGGGTTTGCATGATTTTCTGCCTGTTAAAATGAATGGTGGGAAATGCATTGTTCACAGCTGTAATGTAACTTTTTTTTTCTTCATTTCTCCATTCTGTAACTAAGGATTGTACCTAGGTACTCTGTGCCTAAGTTGGCTCCTTATGTTGGTGACATTATTACGCTGTAACTAATCTGTAACTGAAGAAGCTGTACCCAGGCAGCTTTTTACCTAAAACAGTGCTGTAAGTGGCCACATTACATTGTACTCATTTGCGCACATGTGACAATAAAGCTAATTCAATTCAACTTGCTTTTCCTCATGGCAAAGCTCTATGCTATGGTCTACATATTAGCCCTTGCTGATTGCGCAAATTGCAGTTGTGTTGGGCTAAGCCTTTGGCACAGTACTAATGGTTGCCTCTGAACTGGAAAGTACATTGTTCAAATCATCCACCATCCAGTCCCAGAAATTTAAGACCAGAGTTCTAACATTGAGTTCTGGGGTTGACATCCTGTGAGATACTTATATTAGGTTTAACCAAGATCTTCCTCACTACACGTTCAGAGAGCCATTCACCCCCAAACACTAATACAAAGAAATAAAGGCCATTACAATGGAAGTCAATCTGTTAGTCAGCCTTCCTATCCTGTCAACATTTCATTTCATTCTCATGAAGGAAGAGTGGAACAAAATGTAGAACTAACAAAACAGTGTTATGCAATTGCCTTACCAAAGCATCAAAGACAAGGATGTCATATTTCTCCGTGTCGGAATGCTCCATCATGATGTTGAATAGTGCATCGAGAGTGTCCTGGAGGAACTGTAATTGAGCACAGTAATAGATGAGATATTAATTTATTTTGTACTGAACAGTCTTTACCTCTACCGCCCTTGGAGAAATGCCCCATCATATTTCCCAAGTGGGAAACTGCTCAAATAACAAACTGAGCTCAGGAAATGCTTCCCAATAATACATGAATATCTTGTGCAGGTAACAAAATATATTACTTGTAGATTTCCATGAGATGCTCCAACTTTTCTAGTTAAAACTGGGCACAGGAACAGAACTCTCAGCCTCTCAGACCTACTCTTCCATTCAATGACATAATTACTGAGCTGCTCCTCCAGCCCATTAACCTGTCCTTGTGTTTAGATCCCCCACAGATTTCCAATTCAGAGAAACCTGAGAAACCTTAACTTGGGTGGAAAGCATTTTGAATCAATCACATGGCAGTAAATTAGGTGGCTAATTTCAAGCCTTTGTATTCCAGGGACAGGATTTCTTATCCCGGGAACACATACAGGGAATTTGGGAATGACCTTTATTTCCAAATAGATTCAAGAACAGCTTTTTTCCCATTGCTATCTGACTTTTGAATGGACCTCTCAAATGTTAATTCCGATTCTCTCTCTCTCTGCGCCTTCTCTGCGGCTGTAATACTGTATTCTGCCCTCTGTCCTGCTACCCCGGTACTATCTACCTGTACAGCACGCAAAAGAACACTTTTCACTGCATCACAGTATATGTGACAACAATACATCAATTAATCAATTAATTGTTTAGATGTGAAACACTACAGAATGTGAATTTAGCAATAGGACTGAATCTGTAATTCAAAATATAATTTTATCTACAGCTGACAACAGTTAGTGTTCATAGCATCATACAGCACAGAAGAAAGCCATTCAGCCCATGATATCTATGCCAGGACTTTAAAGAACTATCTAATTCCTTCCACCCCACACTGCTTTACCCAACTGCCACAATAAATATTTGTCCTTTCAATTATAGATAAGTTCCATTTTGAAAGTCATTACTGAATCTGTTTCAACCATCTATTCCATCATGGATTTAGATTCTAACACAATCGTGTCTCCTCATTTCCTTTGTATATTTTGCATATGAATCAATTTCCTGAATGGTAGTAGCCTCGTGGTGCACTCTGAATGTTTCCCTTATTTCAGTAACAGTGTGGTCCCAGATGAGGACGATAGCTGTTCATGCTAGGTGACACCATGATTCAGACAATTGTTAGACAAATATTAATCAATGAACTCCAAACCTGGGTAAACTTGCAACTCCAATGAAGAACTAAGAGGTTTTGCAGTTTTATAAGACAATCAGAATAATTTAGGTTGGTCTCTTTTCTGAAAACTGATCCATCAAAGTAATATGACACTATCTAACAGACATGAGGTTCCAAGTCTCAAGCAAAGAAAATGATCTATTAATCAGTATCTCTGAGGAGATAGGCAGAAAATGAACTTGAGCCTGATGTGTTTATTACTGCAAACATTTAAAATTGTGTAATTTTTCAGTCTTGAGCTTTTTTTTTTCTTTGCTTCGTTTAATTCTAGTGTACATAGATAGTCTGATCTCAAATGCCTTGACAATCTGTAAACATGTCATGTAATATTACAGCACACTTTTGACTCAAAATTGTTTAATTCAAATTATCTGTTTATTTTGATTTAGCACTGAAATCCTACTTGTCACTTGCATGGCTTAACTTTACTTATTGGATAATTCAAATATTTTAGTGCGAAAATGATCAAATCAATCTTTAAGGCTCTAAGAAGTGACAGGGACCAAGACAGAAGAAGTGACTATTTATTCCCTTGAGCATTTTTATGATTCAATAGATTATTGGATGGCATGGTGGCACAGTGGGTAGCACTGCTGTTTCAATGCGCCAGGGACCTGGGTTCAATTCCAGCCTTGGGTGACTGACTGTGTGGAGTTTATACAATTGCCCCATGTCTGTGTGGGTTTCTTCTGGGTACTCTGGTTCCCTTCCACAGTCCAAAGGTGTGTAGGTTAGTGTAACGATTGTAACAAGGTAAGTCAGGTTGACCTCATAGAATATAAGTTCCCTGACTGGGGCTGTTAACACAGTCCAATCAGGGAACCCTGGCTGACAGGTATAAACAGGAGTGTCAGAGGTTCTGTTCACTCTGTGATCTGGCTCTGAGGTAGCTGGATCAGTGCAAAGGACCCTCCACATGTAAATAAAGGGTGACTTGGTGACAGGATACCAGCTTCTGTCAAGTTATTTCAGTTATGTGGATTGACTGTGCTAAATTGCCCATAGTGTCCAGAGATGTGCCAGCGAGGTGGATTAGCCATGGTAAGTATGAGTCACAAGGATAGGATAGGATAGGGTAGAGACCTGTGTTCATGTAGAATGCTCCTTGGAGTGTCTGTGCAGACTCGATTGGACTCAATGCAAACCTCTATCTGCATTATGATTCTTGTACCTTCTTGAATCATTAGGTGGAGAATCAATGGCAAACACAATGGATATTCTGGGTCCATTCAACCTGATTTCACAGGGATCAGGCACTTGGTAAATGGGGTCCTCACCATTTTCAGGTCAGATGTGCCACCTCCAGAAACAGCCAGCCAATCAGAGGCTGGCAGCTACCCAGAACCCACAGCACCACCAGCAACTGTGGCCACTGCCGGAACTGCAATCAAACCAGAGCAGAGGTCAGCCCTGGAGTTCTGGAGGAAAGCAGAGACACTAAGGTTAGTCAGGGAGGCTGCAATGAGAAATTTGGGGTTGGGGGGGGGTGTCTGTTAAAAGGCACAGTGGGGGTCTTCACATGTCAGCCCCTTGCTGTTGACAGTTCTCCTTGTTGAAGTTACCCACAAAGGAGGGATTTGTCCGTTCCACCAGGATACAGACATTCTCAGCATTTTAGCCACATAGTGTGCCTATCATTGGTATAATAGGAAGGGGCAGTGGGAATGAGGCCCTTATGTGGCTATTGAAGTACCTCAAATGCCATCCAGATGCAAAGGCTGTTGTCAACTACTTCCACCTCAAAATTAGTCAGGTTCGGTCAGAACAGTGATAGGATGTCCACCAAGCAACTTCTGGACTGATTGTATGTCATGTTCACCTCCCCTCTCTGAGGGAGCAGTAAATTCACACACAAAATCCCAGTGACCCTTTTTCGCTGTTTTCTCTCTAAAGACACGATCAGACCTGCTGAGTTTCTCCAGTTTTTTTTTTGCTTCAGATCTTCAGCATCCACAGTTCTTTCTTTTGTGTTGAATTCAACATGGTTCCTTGTATTGTCTCAAATTTCAGTTCTGCTGATGGTGAGGGATATTATACCCAGGGAATTCCCAGGAACAGGGCCATCAAGGATGAAAATGCACCTTGCATCAGGCTCTTTCTCATTGGACATTTGAGTCCAAACTGCCCCTTGAATATGATCCTGCTGGATTACAACAACTGAAGATGAACAGACATCAAGAACCTCATGACAAAGTAGTGTTGGGGGTGGGGGTGGGCAGAACAGAATGGTATGTTTACCATTTGTTTCAGAGATAGTAGGAACTACAGATGCTGGAGAATCTGAGATAACAAGGTGTAGAGCTGGATGAACACAGCAGGCCAAGCAGCATCAGAGGAGCAGGAAGGCTGATGTTTTGGGCCTCGACCCTTCTTCAGAAGGGTTCATCCAGCTCTACACCTTGTTATCTCTGTTTACCATTTGTGTTGTGTTCCTGAGAGGTGCTGGGATATCTACAGCAGAGATTGATTGCTACAATTGACCTTACCTTAACGACCTCTTCTCCATCAACTATCTTCAGCTTCTCCAGGTTTTCTTGCAAGAGTTCAGGTTTGGTTCTCCACTTCAAAAGGCCCAGCAAACCGACTGTCAAAAAGAAAGCCTCAGTGATTATCTGCACTGCTTAGTTGAAGCACGAAGCAAAACACTATAGATCAGGACTTCCCCAAGTGGAATGCCAGGACATCCAAGCAACATCACAAGCTAAAAGTTTCAGATTGAGAGAACCAAGGTGGAAAGGCCTGACATGACCTAGTACTGGACCACCAGAGTTACAACAGGTGTATCCCCACTCCAACAGGCCCTCACTCTTCAGTTCTCGAGGAGTCGCAAAAGATTTCCAGGCCTCAACATAGGGCCACAGTGGGGAAACCTTTGGGAAGCATAGATTAGATGCTGTTAAATCTGACGTGAGAAAGAAATTGCTGGAAAACTCTTAACAAAGTCAGGCAGCCTCTAGGGGATGAAAATCAATTCCCATTAAGGGGAGGCAATGGCCTAGTGGCATTATCACTAGACTGATAATCCAGAGGCCCAGGAAACGTTCTGGGGGCACGGGTTCGAGTTTGGTGGAATTTGAATTCAATAATTACCTGGAAATAAGAATCTATTGATGACCATGAAACCTTAGTTGATGGTCAAGAAAAACCCATCTGGTTCACGAATGCCCTTTAGTGAAGGAATCTGCCATCCTTATCTGGTCTGGCCTAGTGCCTGATTCTTAACTGCCTCTGGGTAAGTAATGAACTGTCCAGCCAGTCGAGCGCACATCCATGGATGAATTTTTTTTAAAAATCAGATTGATGCTCAAAGGCTTCAGCATTTTCCACAATAACTTAAGCTTTGTTGCACTGAATATTTTCAAGTAATTGCCAAGTGTGGGGGTGAAAGGATTCTTAAATTGTATATCAAGACTCTTCAAAAATTGACTCAATTCGTGTTGTATTTGATCATGTTGTATCACTCATTTCACGTCAACAATTGTTTTTAAATGCAATCGGTTACGAAACAGATAAAAATAGGGAGGTTTCACCAATACTCACACACAGTACCGGTTAGACAACAGCTGGAATACTGTGAGCAGTTTTGGGCTCCTCATCTGAGGAAAAAATATTCCGGCATTGGCAGCAATCCAGAGAAGGTTCACTAGCCGATCCTGGACATGAAGGGACTGTCTTACAAATTAAGTAGGTTGGACCTGTACTTGTTGGAGTTTAGGAGAATGTGAGACGACTTTATTGAAACATATAAGATTCTTAGAGGACTTTTCAGGATAGATGTGGAGAGGTTGTTTACCCTTTTGGGAGAGGCTAGGACCGGAGGGCATAATCTCAGAATAAGGGATCAATTGTTTGAGACAGGGATGAGGAGAAGTTTCTTCTCTCAGAGGGTAGTGAATCTGTGGAATTCTTTATCATGAAGAGTTGTCGAGGCTGGATCATTAAGTATATTCAAGGCTGAGATAGACAGATTTTTAATCTGGAAGGGAATCAATGAAAAGTCAAGAAAGTAGATTTGGGCATAGTCAGATCATCCATGTCTCATTGAATGGCAAGCAGTATCGAAAGGCTGAATGGCATACTTTTGTCCCCACATCTGATAGCACTAATTGAGGCAGCTAGTCTACATTATTGCAGACAACACATATTTGAAAGAGACCAAAATATAAGGATCAGGACATCAGGAAACTGCTATTTTTCAGATGTCACCATGACATCCTTAACAATTGCCTGAGCTGTCAGATGAGGACTCAGTGTAAAATCTCAGCTGAGGCACAGGTCCTCCTCCAGTACCACACTGTGTTATGCTCATGACAGCACTGTAACATCAAAGTCATCTGTTCAATTCCTGGAATGGAGTTTGAGAACAAGACTTTTCAATTGAGAAGTGAGACTGATGTGACGATGCTGTCAGTTTAAGATGTTATTTTGTCCTGTTTTTTTTGAAGAGAGGATGTAAGTCAGAGGATCCAAGCTGGCTACTGAAGACCTCTTGTGTAAACAGCTTGGGAGACCTTGGGTTTCTTTAATGCAGCCTGAATGGGTGTAGCCATCTCTCACAGATTAGGATTTCTGGGTTTTGGTTTTTCAGGAGCATCAGAAGATATTGGGGTCTCAATAGAGTTGAAAGCTTCAGTGAATGTCTCCTGGCTGTTACTCTCTCTGAATTTTCTCTTGATGTTTTTTTCCTCCTGGACAGAAGAACTGCACGTGAGAATCTATGTCTGAATTTGCTTTTTTGCCAAGGGGTGTGTTTATGGGATATTACTATATTGGGACAGTTAATTAGTAATAATTACTGTGTCAATTATTTAGTTACATTTTGCAAGAAAGTTACATTATTCTAAATTCCTCTTTCTTTGGTTGTATTTTAACAACAGTGTTTCAGTAAATTGTGTTTTGCTTAATGTCAAATAGTTTGAGCAGTCATGTTTCATCTGGAATAGGCATTTTGCTTTTGCGTTTAAAAATAAGAAAATGTTAGGGTCTAGGCCACCTTCTTAAAATATTTTGAGGGGGTCTGGCCCTGCCCATAACAATAATACCAACTGGAGTTTCATCAAATGGCTTCCATTTCATGCTGCAACATATCATTTTGTGATCTTAATGCATTACGCAAAGTGTTGGCAGAAACAGTAATGTTATTGCAAATGGCATTGCACAGAAGTTAAAAGGCTTTATGCCTTTGACACGTAGATAATGCACAAAATAATGAGTGTAGGGTCTCCCCCACTATTGTACTCAATTCTGAAGTTCAGAATGACACTAAGAAACAGCTCCCAAAAACACTGAGCAGTACCAAAAATAATGGACTACATCCCACTCTTCACAGCAGGATCAAGCAAAACACGTTTGTGCCTCTGAAAATCTTTAAATGAACAGATCAGCGTACTTCATGCACTGTGCCAGTACAATGCTCGCCAAGTACCTTCCACATTTATTGAAATGCATCTGCTTATGCCACTAGCCAGTCATTATTCTCTGCTGTGCTGCCCCTCAGTGTGTGAAATGATGGTCAATCACCTTCCACTTTTACAATCCAAAATAATTGAAAACAACAAAGGCATTGGCCAGCAGCTCTCCGTGGTGTACTTGCTCCCAGATGAGGCTGGAAGTCCCAGTCAGTTGCTCCAAGTGTAATGTCACTGTGGGGCAGCTGGGTTCGTGGCAGACAACATGCCAACCAACCTCTTGGTCGGATGGTGTGAGATCCCCCATAGATGGTGTAATCCCCCATAGAATCCACCCTGTGAATTTGCAACAGTAACCAGACGTCCAATAGGACTTAATTAACTGCAGTATTCTTTGTCTCTTGAAAGGCATTATAACATCCTATCTTTCTTGGATTGTTTATGTATTTCTATGGATATCTTAGCAGTGTATAGTAAACTAGCCACAATGCATACCATTCTGTGTGAGTTTTGTGGAACACACCAGGGTTGAGATGACAAAGGTGTCTCTGGAACTGCTGGACAAGCCTCCTCCTAAAGTAGTGTTGCTGCGGCTGAGTGTGTAGCCTTTGAGCTCGGAGGCTGGGCGAGTGGACAGCAGCTTGGTGTATATGTTGGCTTCTTCCATTTTTTTGCTATCACCCTGTTAGCAGGCAACAAAAGAGAGGATAAGATACAGTTTTGTTTAATACAAGTAGTCTCCAAATATCAATCACAATCCCGTCTTCTCTTTAGTGTTGCTACTTCTGAATATCATTAAGTACTTCTTAAATCCTCAGGTCATTGTCAAAATGCTTGGACAGGATTAGAATTTTGCAGGATGTGGAATGAGGATGGTGTAGCAAGAGCAAGAGGAATGCTTCGAACTCCATTGTACCAGGACAAATCATCAGAAATTGTGCAACAGTCTGATTGGTTGTGGAAAGTCAAGATTAGTGAGTGCATCCAGAGAACATCCAACATCCAGTTGCAATTTTTAAAAGAAGAACCATAAAGTGCTTTAGCCCTTCAAGCATAGCAGAGAGAGATTCCAATGCAGAGATAGTCTGTTAGTGAGATCTTTCTTCAGACGAGTTATGACCCACCCTGATCGTACAGCAGTACGTTGCACAATGAGATAAAATGAAGAACTGAACATGCTAAAGAGTTGAAGCAAGCAATATCAGAAATTGCTGGAAAAACCCAGCAGGTCTGGTAGCATCTGTAGAGCAAAAGTGGAGTTAATGTTTGAGTCCAGTGACCCTTTTTTGAGAATCCAGGCCATTGTTTTCCAGTTATTTTACCCAGCTGTTAGAATACAGCAACTGACTGCTGTGAAAAGACAGCGGGAGGATGGGGCGAGGATTAATTACTGATTGATTAGGGAGACAAAGATTATCGGGGTAAGCAGGAGACTAGAGTCAGCCCACAATCAGATCAACCATATGATTATCAGCTGGCAGAGCTAGCACACTATATGTCACAATGAGATGTGGAAGCAGAAGTAGGCCATTTGGCCAATCAAGTCTATTCTGCCTGTGAATGAAATAATGGTTGATCTGATAATTTGGCTCACCTCTGCATCAAATTTGTAAATTTGCGTGGAGTCTCAAAGTTTTGAATGCGGGACTAACACTAAAGAAGTTTCTTTAAAAAGAGGCATGACTGAGATATCCTCAGGGTAGGAATTGAAGGTGAAATTTGTCACTTAAGATGTTTTTATATGTTGTGATAGGTTTGAGTTGGACATGCATCAGCATTCCTTCATCATTTCTGGTTCAGTATCTTGGAATCCCCTACTTAATACCAGCAAGGCATTACTATCACTGTAAGATATGCATCTCTTCCAAAGAAACTAGAATGCACCATAAATATGGCCTTTCCAATATTACCCATAATAAGAATTTATTCAAAATAGAAATCTCAAGTCTATTCTCCATTGTTTATATGCTCCAAATTTGATTCTAAAACTGATGATTTCATGAAGATTGTTCTTGTGGGGAGTGGAAAATATTGCAAGGTGGGATATTTTCAGTTGGGGCTAAGATGTACTTACAGCACATAGTCATAGATTCATAGTGTCATGGAGTTGTCCAGCGTGGAAATGGACCTTGCATCTAACTCGTCCATGCCGACCAGATATCCTAAATTAATCTAGTTCCATTTGCCAGTATGTGGCCCATATCACTAAACCCTTCCTATTCATGAACACATCCAGATGACTTTCAAATGTTCTGATTGTACCTGCCTCCACCACTTCCTCTGGTGGCTCATTCCAAACATGTTCTACCCTCTGCGTAAAAAAAAGTTGCCCCTTAAGTCCCTTTTAAATCTTTTCCCTCTCATCTTGAATCTATGCCTTCTAATTTTGGAATCCCCTATCCTGAGAAAAAAAAGATTTTGCCTATTTACCCTGTCCATGCCCCTCATGATTTCATAAACCTGTGTAAGGTCACCCCTTAGCCTCTGACGGTCCAGGGAAAATAGTCCCAGCCTATTCAACTACTCCCTACAGCTCAAACCCTCCAACCCAAGCAACATTCTTGTAAATCTTGGGAGATTTATAACTTGTCGACTTGTGTAACACCATATCCTGGGATTGCTCGGTGCTGATACCGAGTACTAAGAATGAATACTTTTCAATGACCAAGTATCAAGAATCTTAAAGAAAACTAAAAGAAATATTATATGAAGCGACAAATTCAATAATTATATCGTTCAGCACTCTGAGTAGTAATCCTAATTCTACACAACAAACAGGCGATAAATAACTGGCAGGATCCAGTGTGTGACTGATAATTGTGAAAACAAAGCCATGTACCTTGTACACCAGCAGTTCATGAGTACCATCTTGCAGTGTTGTACCATCATCTTTCATCAGTCTCACAAATGCCATTGCAAAATTCTTTTCACTCTTGTCTTTCGCTGTAGTTACAAGAACAATAAAGCTAGTTAAATCCAGGGGCCTTGAGGAGATAGACAACAAAGCCGTCAGACCACAAGATGAAAGAGTAGAAGTAGGCCATTTGTCCCATCGAGCCTGTCCTACCATTCAATGAGATCATGACTGATCCGATAATCCTCATGACCTGATTCCCCTACTGATTAAAAATCCGTCTCAGCCTTGAATGTACTCAATAATCCATACGCAACAGGTTATTTCAGTAAAGAATTTTTAGATTCACCAATCTCAAATGAATTCCTGCTCATCTTTGTTTTAAATGGGTGACCTTTTTGGAATTTATGGTCTCTGGTTCTAAACTCTCTCTCATGGGGTAGCAACCTCTTGGCATTGAATCTGTCAAGCTCCCAAAAATCTTACATGTTTCATTAAGGTCCCCTCGTATTCTTCTAAGCTCCAATGAGTACAGGGCCAAACTAAACCTCCCCTCATAAGACAACACCTCCCTGCCTAGGATCAACTTAATGCATGTTCTCTGGGCAGTCTTCGATATCAATATATCTTTCCAAAGATAAAGGAAACAAAACTGTTCACAATATTCCAGATGTGGTCTGATCAGGTGTCTCGTATAGTTTCAGCAAAGATTCTATTTTTTATACTCTATTCCCTTTGAAATAAAGCCCAGTACTACATTTGCTTTTCCTATTACTCATTAAACTTGGACGCCTGATCTTGTGATCCATGCATAAGGACTCCAAAATCCCTCTGTTCTGCAGCTTTCTGCAGTCTCCCTCCATTTAACTAACAGTCAGTCTTCTAACTTAATCTTTCTTTTTCATTGGGTTATATCTTTGCTGACGGTTGTGCATTATTTTCTTAAATATCTACAACTGTTCCTCAACGATCTTTCCTGCTAAATTCTTTCTGACTTTACTCAAGTCAACTCTGACCTCATCCTTATGCAATTATTATTTTTTTTAAGCTGAGCATAGTTGGTTCTGAACCATGTTTCTCACTCTCAAACTGCATGCTAAATTCAATCATGTTATCTTCAGTGCTCCCTAGGGAATCTTTTCAGTTGGGGATAATTCAGTTGGCCACCATATAAGGTTCTAGAAACTGTCCCGAATACAGTCTATGAATTCTTCCTCATGGCTTCCTCTGACAATTAGATTTTCCTATTTTACATGAAGATTAAAGTCATTCACGATTAATGTAATGTCTTTATGTGTCCTCATTATTTCCTGATTTATTTTCTATCCTAACATATAGGACTGTTAGGGGGCCTATAGACCACTCCAATCAGTGTCTTTTCTCCCCTTCTAGCTCCTACCCATATGGATTCTATGTCTTCTAATCCGAGATAATTCCTTCTATCATAATTGTTCCAAATCATACGAACAAAACGGCTCATCACCTTCCCATTCTCATCTATCCTTCGAAAATCCACGTACTCCTAAATATTTAATTTCCAGCTTTGATCTCCTTGTAACCATGTCTCCATTATTGCTATAAGATCATACCCATTAATTACTATTTGTGCTAATAATTCATTTATTTTGATCTGAATTCTTCATCATTTAGAGTCATAGAGCTGTACAGCACAGAAACAGACTCTGTGGTCCAACTCGTCCATGCTGACCAGGTATCTGAAATTCACCTAATCCCATTTGCCAGTATTTGACCCATATTGGTCTATTCATATATCCATCCAGATGCCTTTTAAATATTGTAATTGTACCAGCCTCCACCACTTCCTCTGGCAGCTCATTCTATGTGCACACAACCCTCTGTGTGAAAAAGTTGTCCCTTAGGTCCCTCTCATCTTAAAACTATACACTCGCATTTTCGACTCCCCTACCCTGGGAAAAGACCTTGGCTATTCACCCTATCCATGCCCCTCATGATATTATAAAACTCTATAAGGTCACCCCTCAACCTCACATGCTCCAGGGAAAATAGCCCCAGCCTATTCGGTCTTTCTCTATAACTCAAACTCTCCAAACCTGGTAACGTCCTTGTGAATCTTCTGTGAACCCTTTCAAATTTCACAACATCTTTCCTAAATCAGGGAGACCAGAACTACATACAGTATTCCAAAAGTGGCCTATACAGTGTTCCGTACAGCCGCAACTTGATATCACAACTCCTATACTCAAAGCACTGACCAATAAAGGCAAGCGTACTAAATACCTTCTTCATCACTCTGTCTACCTGTGACTCCGCTTTCAAAGAACTATGAACTTGTAACCCAAGGTCTCTTTAACGATGAGCCTTTACTTTTGCTGTTTTGCCATTTTTGTCTCTTTAACTCTATTTGCTGCTTTTTATGCTTAAACATTCTGCCCCTTCCTGTCCCGCTCTAGGTATCATTATTAACTGCCCTGCAATTGCTTTGTAAGCTAAAGTATCTGCCCTCCCAAACACACCACACCCCTCTCCTATTTAGCTCTAGTTCAAGGACAGAGAAGTGAAAGTTGAGATGAGGATAGGATAAAAAGAACACGAAATGTGAAAGGACATTGTGACAAGGAATGGAGGGAGCAACTCTCTTTACTCTTTCCAGAAATGCTTCTTTGAAGGATTCTGGTTGGAAAATGCACTATAAGTGCAAATTGTACTTACACTCTTGTGACGATCTGTGCCGAAACATAAATCTCAAGTGTATTCTTTGCATTTCTTCCATTGGAATGGCAACCTGGTAACATATAAGTATCTGAATCAGACAGTGAATATATATATATTGTAATTGCTCGTGATAATTAGGTTACAATGTCCCACTTATGATGGTCTGGTTTCAGATGATTCCTTTATCCTGAATGATCTTAGTGCACACACACTTAAATCACAAGGAAATCCATTCTCTACTAAAGATTATGGATTAAACATGGAAATGAAGTGCTCTTGTTTGAAGCTCATTCATTGGCCAGGAATTTCTTGCATCTGTTCAAAATGCAGCAGATAGCAAGTCACCTGTTAAAGTAGAGGCTCTGTCATATTTCCAGTGAAATTGAAATAGAGCAGAAGGCAACTGCAATAATTATCTTCTGAGTCTAATTTTTGGCCAAAATAACACCAGTCGCTGCATTTCAGAAAGTAGTGAATTTAATTAATATGTATGCGATTAAGTGAGGCTAACAAAACTGTGTCAGATACTGTTCCACGTAAGGGAGTATAAGGTAATCTTTGGACCTCAGAAAGATAGATCAGGTTAAAGTGTGGTGTTGTCCCATGACTAGTATGTAACATACGTTTAATAGATATGCTCATGGTACCATCGCTGAATGACAACATGTGATCTGATGGGATAAACTCTTAGTCTCCACTTTGCTGAATCCTCTGACAGCATGACACACTGAGAGAAGCAGGCTCTATTTTACTCTAAAATTCTTAGCTTTTTCCCAGATGCACGAGTGCCTGTGATCGTAATATATGTATACACCGGTAGCTGTGATAACAGCCTACTGAATCTTTCAGTACTATATTACCCATGTCTTGTTCTTATGTTACGGGAGCTAACACAAGTGTCACCTCATCAAGGATAAATGCCCAGCTGAAGGTAATAAACCCAGCTGTAATTCAATCTATGACAGATCCTAAGGACAGAACAGATCTATGTTTCCAAAGAAATGACTCCCAGATCCCAGATAATCACATCGCAGAGTGCTTTCTAAAGTGATTTAAGGGTCCAAAGAGGGAAATTTCAAAGGCACAAGTAGCACCATTTCACCCTGCAAAATTGTCCTCACTGAGTTTGACACCATCCAAGATAAAGCAGCCCGCTTGATTGGCATTTCACCCACAAGCATCTATTCCCTCCACCACCAACACTCAATGCCAGCACTGTGTACTATCTATGAGATGCACCGCAGAAATTCACCAAAGTTCCTCAGACAGCACCTTCCAAACCCATGACCACTTCCATCTAGAAGAACAAGGGCAGCAGATATATGGCAACACCGCCACCTTCTAGTTCCTCTTCAAGCCGCTCACTATCCTGACTTGGAAATATATTACCATTCCTTCGCTGTCACTGGGTCCAAATCCTGGAATTTCATCTCTAATGGCATTGCGGGACAACGCACAAGCAGGAGGACTGCAGCGGTTCAAGAAGGCAGCTCAGCACCACCTTCTTAAGGGCAACTAGGGATGGGTAATATATGCTGGGCAGCCAGCGACACCCACATCCCACAAATGAATAAAAAGAAAATAAAAATAAGAATTGCTCGGCCATTTCAGAGAGCAGTTAAGAGTCAATGGCATTGTTATGGGTCTGGAATCACATGTAAGCCAGACCAGGTAAGGATGGCAGATTTCCTTCAGAAGGTTGTAAACAAATTGGTAGGATGATTGGATTACTATCAACCAATGGTAGCCCCTTGATCACCATCTCTGAGACTAGCTTTCAACTGCAAATGTTATTAATTTGAATTCATTTTTCACAAGCTGTCATCATGGATATTGGCCCCCTGTCTCCAGGACATTAGTCTATGGCACTCCAGGTTATCAGTCAAATGAAATTACCACTACTCCACCGTCTTTGGTGTTCAAGCAGGAATCACCAGTTGCTGATCATCAGCTGGAACTTTCCTGACCAATTCTGCCTACAATTAACCCAGAGCTACTGAGGTCAGCTGTGATCTGCCAGGTGCCACTTGTCCCAAGATCAGAAGAGAGCAGGGTGCTAGCTTCCATAACCATTGGTCACCCACAGCATTTAGCAAGGTGACCATTGTCATGGCAACTCGAGTGCTCTAGATTGTGCAAAGTGTACTAAAAACACATTCACAATAAAATAAGGAGGAGGAGAGAGTAAATGAAAAGGAAAGGAATGTTCTGATTATTGAGATACAGCAGTAATTGTCAATTAGTGGTTTAATCATTAATCACTGGGAGGCTGAGTAACCATCTTCATGTTGACTGATTTAAACCTAGTACAGTTCAGATGGAGGTTGGTAACTTCAATAAATTTGGCATCAATGTTAATTTTGCTACAAGATGAAATTATGATTAACCAAAGCCAAATTGGGCCAGGTTCATCATAAATATATGACACACACACACACACACACACGCATGCGCACACGCACACACACACACGGACACACATACACACAGACACACACTCTCACTCACACACACGGACACACACGCACACACGGACACATGCACAGACACTCACACACATGCACACACACACACACGGACACAGACACGGACACCCACATACACACCTGTTTTGGAATAGGGGTTTGTTTCCACTCCATACTACTGAGGTACTGGGGCCTGCCACAAACTAGTCTTGAAAATAAAATCGAAACACTTAATGTACAATTGTACAATTGCTTTACTTGCACTTTTTGTGATTAATTATTGATTTTTCTCCCGCAGGTACATATTTTGCAATGGTAATTTTCCTCTTGCAGAACCACAGTCAGCATGATGGTTCAGGCTTTACTAATACCCAAAAATTTTACAGCCTAACAGTGATAAATAGCAGAGCAATGAACTGGGATTGGCAGTTATTGGTTACATCTGTGTCAATTCTTGAAAAATGAAGTGAATCCCTCCCCATCCTGAGTGATTCTTCCTGGGCCACAGTTCAATAGGAAACCCTTGATGTCCCTTCACAGTCACTACGCGTCAGAAAGTGTTACTGAGCCAGCTAATTGAATATGGTTCAGTTCCATCATGTTCTCAGCCAACCTCCATGGATACAGAATCACTGAATTTGGAAGAGGCCATTCAGCCCATCATTGGCTTTTTGAATGAGTAATCTGCTCTGTCCCCCTCCCTTGTTTCTTTGTTTTTTGCTACAGTCCTGAAATTTCTCAATTTACTCATGAAGCATTTATCTGATTCCCTTTTGGGAAGTACAACGGAATCTGTTTCCACCACCCTTTCATGAAATGCTTTCCTGATCACATAAAACAAACCTCCTTATCTCACATCTGGCTCCTCTGTCTGATCACTTTAAATATATGCTCTAGTTATCAATGTTCCTTCCACTGAACATTGCTCCTTACTTATTCTCTCAAAAAAAACTTCATGGTTTTGACCACTTTGACTAAATCTTCCCTTAACCTTCTCTGTTCTAAGGAGATCGGTCCTAGCTTCAACAGACTAATTGGCAATGTGGTGGTACCCCATATTGGCAATCTTCGAAAAGTGGGAACAAACCTCCAGTTGAGGCTTAATCTGTAATTTACAAATGTTTAGCCGAACCTCTTACCTTTTCACAAATGGGTACCATTTATTGCCAATCTGACTTGCCAACCGCACCTCAGGATCAGCTGAGAAGCAGGTGAGAAGACATTGGAGATCCTGTCTTCTAAACTCTCCCCAATTAATTGGGTGTAGAATTGAAGTTAGGCTGCCAATTAAGAGGCACTTAAGATCCTCACACTGTCACCACCAGTATTGCAGGAAGAGGTCCACCTATTCAAGTTCCTGTGCCCAACTGAGGAACCCCACCCTCCTCTATTTCAGCAGCAAAGGCCCTCCTTCCAGCAAGATAATCCACTGCCTCCAAACCAAACCCCTCCTATTAATGGGCCCTACTTGATGAAGCTCTCCCTCCCACCTATCCAATTCTATTGCCTCCAAGGCTGATTGTTGTCCCAGTCCTCCAGGAGTTCCAGCAGTGCCCACTGGGAGTGCTGTTGGGCCTGAAGAGTAGCTCATGATTGGAGACCTGATGGCAGGAAGGTATGTGTCTGACTGTTTTCTCTCTTTCCTTCACTATCCCACAGTTGTGACTGTGATTTCAGTTGCTCAGAAACTAAGATTTAAATCTCTCCATTTTCTATCTCCCTCCCTTTTTCAGGCACTCCTCAAAATCTACGTCTTTGTCCAGCTTGTTGAACACTCATCCTCATGGCTCCTTCTTAGACTTGTTCTGTTTATGCCACTTGCAAAATGCTTTGGAATGCTTTGCAATATTGAAAGAACTAGGAAAGTATTGCAGCTATAAAGTGTGAACAAAGGTTGGCATGTGTGACTCAAAGCTTGTGACAGACAGAACAATTGTTTAAAAGATGTGTCATTACATTGCTGTGAGAAGATCTGATTTCATGGGTGTTTTTGCTGTTATTGCTGGTGTTGATCATGGAAAATCTTTATGCACTGAATTTTGCCAAAATTTAAAATCATAAAACTTTTATGTTTACTTTGCAGCAGCAGTGAAAACAGCTCTCATGCTGATTCACATTTTCATTCTTTCTCATGTTCTAAAAAATCAGATTATGACATGACAATGTTCCAATGTCATCTGTTCACTAAACTGAGACAATCTGTATGGTAGGGATTCTACAAGTCTATGAATTGCTTCCTTTCCGTCATCAGATACATAAAGCAACTTGAAAACATGTTTTCCCTTGTTTGAAATTATCAAAGTAATAACCAGAATTGCTGTTTTGGAATCTACGATTTCATGGTCAATATTGTCAAAACATTTTCCGAAGTGAAAATGAGCCAATGCAGTTTCACTTGTTTCATTGACGTCTGTGCGTGCCTCATTTCTTTATGTCATAACTGTGACTAAACTTCAAATATAAAAACCAAAAGAACTGTGGATGCTGTATATCAGGAACAAAAACAGGAGTTTCTGGAAAAGCTCAGGAGGTCTGGCAGCATCTGTGAAGAAAAATCAAGTTAACGTTTCGGGTCCAGTGACCCTTCCACAAATTTCAAATCTACTTCTTTGATTCTGAAATACTTCAAGCCAGCTTGAAATGATGAAAGGCAATCTGTGTAATGCAAGCTTTTTTTCTGCAAATGTGGCATAGAACTGGAATATCCCGTTATTTTCGCTGACCTTGATTGTCTCAATCCAACGGGGTTGCTTGAACTGATAGTAGATGACAGATCGATATTCACTGACTGGTTTGTCTCCTGCACCCAGGCAAATAGCGTTCTGCATCAAAACAAGACAATTTTGTGAATAACGATTGCAGTGCACATGTGCAATATCTGAGTCTCATGTAACAGCACTACAACTGAATGGCACTGAATTGTGACAATCATTGCAATAGCTCTTGAACATTCTACAATTCTTCCAACTCTTTGTCCTTCACCCACTCCACCACCTTTGCTATTACAATCAATCTCTTCCCCAAGGATCTCACTGTTTGTCCATGCTATGTTCAGCAACGCTCAGGTATGTCATTCATTGCCCATCCTTCAAAGGATAAATGTTGCAAGCCCTGATGTGGCCTTGAAATCGACTAATTACTGGCAAATGGAACTAGATTAATTTAGGATATCTGGTTGGCATGGACAAGTTGGACCGAAGGATCTATTTCCACGCTGTACAACTCTATGACTCAATGATGATCTCCAGGACTGAACACATATTCTTCCCACTTTAATTCCTTATGCTTCAATCTTCCTGGAGGTGACACTGATAAATCAGGAGTGGGCTTTTTGGATAAATTAAAAACTTTAATGGGAGGAAATCCCAGAATTCCGCAACCATTCAGGTGGAAAGTGCTTCCCAATTTTGTTCCTAAAGTTGTAGCTCTAGTTTTAGTTGCCTCTCATTCTTGATATGTTCTGGGCACACACATTCGGACCCTGCCATTGCAGATGGTAGAAATTGAATCCAACAAAGTCTAGAATTAATGATGAACATGAAACCATTGTCAATCGTTGGAAAAATTCATCTGGTTCACTAATGTCCTTTAGGAAAGGAAATCTGTCATGCTTACCTGGACTGGCCTACATGTGACTCCAGACCTCCAGCAATGTGGTTGACACTTAACTGCCCTCTGGGGCAATTAGGGATGGACAATAAATGCTAGCCTAGCCAGTGATGGCCACATCCCATGAATGAATAAAAAAAAATCTGTTTTCTGGTTTTCTGTTATGACCTCATAGAATCTTTGCAATATTTTAAAAGAATTAACGAGATCATCCCAAAATGATTGACAATTAAGTTCAAAAGGAATCCTGCACTTGACTGATTGGATCAATGCGAGGCAAGATTGTCTGAAGTAACACTTCGAGTCTCTAGATCGTTACATGAAGGTGAGCTTATCTTGATACATATTGAGGAAGCAGAAGGATTTAACCCTCAAAATGGTAGAAATGACACAGTGCTCCTCTCTTTACCCCCATTTATCCCACCCGATTATTGCTACCTTATCCAGTTGCCCCATAAAATGGTGTTTTCCACCTACTGCTACCTCACTGACTTTACATCTGGCCTCCCCCTGTTGGTATTGTCCATTCCCAGCTATGCCATCAACTGATTTCCATTTGCCAACATCCCTGAACATGATGCCATGCTCATTTTTCTTCATTGATTAAAGCAGTCCATCGATTCTCTCCATAGTTAACTAAAATAGACTATTTGGCGCAACAGATCAATGCAGGAATTTGTGCTCCATATGAGATTCCTCCACAACTATTTACTTCACCCTAACAATTTTTTTTATTCTTTTGCAGTGTTCTCTCTCATTTACCTTTCTAGATTTCTCTCAAATGATTCCTTAAACATTTCCCTCAGCAATGCTTTGTTGTAGCATGTTTTACATTCTCACCAATCATAAGAGGTTTCTCCTGAGTTCCTTACTGTACATATTTGTGACTATCTTATGTGTCTACCACCCCTAGTTCTACAAGCTTCCATGCAGAAATTACATAATGCTGACTTGCCTTGTCTAATACTTCAGAATTTTAAAGCACTACCAAGTTACCTTCTTTGATTGAAGGGTCTAGGCCCGAAACGTCAGCCTCTCTGCTCCTATGATGCTGCTTGGCCTGCTGTGTTCATCCAGCCCTGCACCTTGTTGTCTCATTATCCATTTATTGGTGTTCTCCACCAAATGCACCATTTATTGATGCCTTTGCAAAATTTCCCATTAATCTGGCACCTTTACCAACCCCTCCCTGTTAAGGCCCTTATCCAATGGCCCATAAAATAGTGTCTTCTGACAATTCCTTAACTCACTGTTATCTCTCCTATTTTATGTCCATCCCTGTGTGTGGTATCTTTACCCAAATTCCCCAAATATTGGTGCCCGCCTCCAATCTTGGAGTCAAAGAAGCAAGATTGCTATTTGCTTTGTTTTCATAATGACAGTTCTGGTGGGGTGTATAAAACTAATAATGGATAAACAGTGTAGCTAAATGTGAATATTCATAGAACAAGAAAGTCTATATACAACAAAATCAATGAAAATTCTGTCCAAATTAATCGCTGTGTGTGTTGGCTGCTTCCTCAACTGAACCCATCAAATAAAACCTGCTGATTCAGTGATTAACTGATCACTTGTAAATACTTAAATCAATTACTTATTGCTCACAGTGAAGTAGGGTTGTCAACCCTCCAGGTTTCTCCTAGAATCTACTTTGAATAAACATAAATCTGCTGGAAACCGCTACCTGGGAGAAAATGCAGAGGGATGTACAAAAATTATGTGTTTCACCGCCTTCAAGCACTTTTCGATCTATATTTACAAAGCTATATGACTCTCTGACTCTATTTCAATTTAAAGTCTTACCTTCTGCCCTTTTCAAGAGAAAATAATCCATTTGTTTGCATTTTCCAACAATGGCTCCATTTGTTCTACCCTCTTTCAATTTCCAAATATAACGATACCTCTCCCATTTTACACCTCCCATCAATATTACTATCCAAGTGTCCCATAAAAAGGAACCTTCCATCAATTTCTTCAGTTACTGCCGACTCCGCAATTTTATACTTCTCCTAATAGGGTTATCTCAATCCAAATGCACATTTTTTGCTGCCCTCCCCTAATTTTCCCAACTAAAGTGAATGCCTTGCTTGCATTTCTCCAGTAACCAGCAGTCTTCACGAATTTGCTTTTCTGCAAGGTTTTCCTACTCACTGGTGCCCTCTCATTATTACCTCAGTGACTGGCAATTGGTAATTTCCCAAGTCTACCATAGATTGGCTCCTTCCTTCAAATGCCCGATTTGCTGCTGTCTTCCACAGTTCCTGCAATAGTCTTGCCCTCTCTCCAATTAATAATGTCATTGATTTATATACAGGTATTTTTCTAAGGTGCATTTCAGCAATTATTTATTTGGTAGAGCCACAGCACAATGTCACAATGATCAACATTGGTTAGAACGATGTATCATTCTTAAACAAAAAACAGGAATTGCTACAAAAGCTCAGCAGTTTTGGCTGCATTCGTGGAGAGAAGTAAGAGTTAACATTTCGGATGGAGTGACCCTTCCTCAAAACTCTGACGAAGGGTCACTCAACCCGAAAATTTAACTCTGATTTCTCTCCACAGATGGTGCCAGACCTACTGAGCTTTTCCAGCAATTTCTGTTTTTTTTTATTGATGATCTAAGCATCTGCAATTCTTTTGGTTGATATTTCATTCAGTTGCATTGTCTAATAATTGCAGGAAATTATTGACCTTAACTCTGTGGTTCAACAGGATGGGAAAAATACAACGAAGCCAAGGTTCTTGATCTCATCGGCACTTTCAAGAAAAGTGTTTAAAAGCTTCAAAATCACAGGCATAGTTTAAAAATAAGGGATCATCCAGTTAAGACAAAGGTGAAAGGAAAAAAAATGTTTCTCTCAGAGGGTTGAGATTCTTTAGAATTCCCTTCATCAAAAGCCAGTAGATGCAGAAACTTTAAATTTTTGCTAACCAAGGGAATGGATGATTATCAGGGATATGCAGGAATGGAGTTGAGGTTTAAACCAGATCAGCCTCAATATTGTTGAATGGGGGCAAGTTCAAAGGGCCAAGTGGCCTATTATTTGTGTGTTCAATGCACTTACGTCATACATTAGTCTCAAATGTGATCGATAAAGCTTCTGGATTAAAACATTTCCCATACTGTGCTCAATGCGTATGATTACACACAGCCCTTTTATATGAAGGAGTAGCTTAAAAACCATTCCTTCATGTATTTTCAGGAGAGCATGAACTTTTAATCTTGTTGCTCCCCTTCTACTAACCGCCATTGGTTGCCCATATTTGTTCCTGAGAAGAAATTATTACCGGAAGAATTTTACCATCGTCGCTACAGACACACATTATCACTTCCACATTCTTCTGTGTGGTCTTGTTGTACTTGTCAAAGTCGCCGTACTGGACAGTGATGTAAATATCATTCCGAACATCACCTGCAGAGGATTGGAACAGAGCAGTACCCTGAGATTAGTGGGCTTTACAATACTTTGGCATGTGAGAACAGACATTGGGTGCTAAAAGTAATAGAGTCCCATCAGCATATCACAGCATTTGGAGCTTCACTCTTGGCAGTGGGCTGATGTTCCAATCCAGTGCTCCCACTCCAGGGCATTGTGAGAAAGGTGTCCATAATCAGCAACTCAAGAATTGCAACTAAAGTGGCACAAACTATTTTCAGAAGGGAGTACTAATTCTTAAACCCATTTCTATCACTCTTTTCCTGACAATCAACCTGTATTTATTCTTTCACTGGATGTAAGCAATGCTGGCAAGGCTATATCTGATCACCCATAAGGAGGTGCTGGCGAGTTGTGAACCAATATGAGCTAAGGGTTGTAGATACAGCCACAAGGCAGCTCTGAAAAGGAGTAAGGATTCCCACTTATTGACAGTAAGGGAATAGTTATATAGTTCCAAATCAGGATGTTGTATAGCTTGGATGGGAAATTGCAAGTGGTGGCACCATCCTTCTGCATGAAAGAGGTCACAAATTTGGACAATGCTGATAAAGGAGCTTTGGGAAGTTGTCACATTGCAGCAAGTAGATGGTAAATACTGATGCAGATTGATGTCCGTGATGGAAGGAGTAAATGTTTAACTTAGTGGTCAGGATGTCAATCAACCAGATTGATTAATGATCGATGATGTCAAGTTTCTTGAGTGTCATTGGAATCGTCCTCATTCAGGCAAATGGAGAGTATTCCATCACCCTCCTGACTTGTGCCTTGTAAATTGTGAACTGGCTTTGGGGAGTCAGGAGTGTTTTTTTCCTAAAATATTCATTCAAGAGTTGTGAGTATCATTGGCTGGGCCAGCATTTATTGTTCATTCTGGATTATCCTTGAGAAGTTGATGATGAGCTACCTTCTTGTGTTATAGAATTCCTACAGTGTGGAAGCAGGCCATTCAGTCCACACCAACCTGCTGAAGACCAATCCCCTATGCTATCCCTGGAATCCTGTGTTTCCCATGGCTAATCCATCTAGTGTGCACATCCCTAGACACTATGGGCAATTTAGTATGGTTAGTCCACCTAACAGGCACATCTTTGGACTGTGGGAGGAAACTGGAGCACCCAGAGGAAGCCCATGTGGACATAGGGAGAACATGCAAACTCCACACAGACAGTCGCCTGAGGCTGGGATTGAACCCAAGTCCCTGGCGCTGTGAGGCAACAATGCTAACGACTGAGTCACTGTGCAGCCCTGAAGCAGTTTTTGGGAAATCAGGATTTTGACCCAGTGATACTAAAGGAACAGAGATATATTTCCAAATAGAGATGGTAAGTGGCTTGGAGGGGAACTTGCAGGTGTTGGTGTTCCCATGTATCTACTGCCCTGTCATTCCAGATGAAACTGACAGTGGGTTTGGAAGGTGCCTACTAAGAAGTCTTGGTGAATTTTTTGCAGTGCATCTTGTAGATGGGACATTCTGCTGCGACTGTGCATGGATGTTAGAGGGAATGGATGTAATGACAATCAAGCTGGCTGGCTTTGTCCTGGATGGTTTTAAGCTTCTTGAGTGTTGTTGGAGCTACACTCATCCAGGCAACTGGGGAGTATTCCATCACACTCTTGACTTGCGCCTTTTGAATCGTGGACGGGCTCTGGGAAGTCAGGAGATGAATTACTCGCTGGAGCATTCCTAGCCTCTGAACTGCTCTTGGAGCCATTGTATTTATATGCTGAATCCAGTTCAGTTTCTGGTCATGGATAACCCCTAGGGTGTTGATTGTGGGAGTTTATGTGATGGTAATGCCATGTGAGTTTCAAAAGGCAATTGAATATTATTTCTTATGGTTGATGCCTGGCATTTGTGTGGCATGAATGTTACTTGCCACTTGTCAGTCCAAGCTTGGATATTGTCCAGACCTTGTAGAATTTGAACATAGACTGAGGAATTACAAATGATGCTGAACCTTCTGCAATCATTGATGAACCTTGCTACTTCTAAACTTATGATGAAGGGAAGTTCATTGATGAAGCAGCTGAAGTTTGTTGGGTCTGGGACAATACCCTGAGGAACTCTTGCAGAGATGTCCTAGAGCTGAGATGATTGACCTTCAACAACCGCAACCATCTTCCTGTGTACCAGGCATGACATCATCTTTTCTACTTGATATCCATTGATTCCAGTTTTGCTAGGGCTGCGTTGTGCCACACGCAGTTCTTGCAGATTTGATGTCAAGGGTTGTCATTCTCACCTGACCTCTGGAATTCAACTCCTTTTGCCCATGTTTGAACTAAGGCTATAATGAAGTCCAGAGATATGTGAGGTGTGGCAGAATCCCCTCATCTGCACCACATGATTCCTTTTTGTCTTCAGCATAATGTCCCTTCCTTTCTAATCTTGTTGATAAAGTTCACTCGCTGTACTAGAGTGTTGTGAGATGGAAAGTCCTAATGAAAATGATCGAGCATTGTGACATCCAAACAATGTTAATTAACATTAATGAATATTATTTTAATTATTGCGCCCCAACACCCCCCTGCTTCTGAAGGGGCCTGATTCTGGATTAGTCAGGTTTAAAAGAGAACACCACCAAATGATTGTCGTTCTCTCACCATGATTATAACAATGCTTGACATCTTAAACTTGTCTCCTGCAGTTGCGAATAAATTCCCTTGCCAGATTTAGAAAGTGCAAGTGGGCATAGGGGGCTTGAGAAGCCAGCCAAATGACGTCAAATCCACAGCTGCTTCAAACAATTTCACAGCAGGCAGTGCAGTGGCCACCTGTAACCCCAGCCAGATCAAGTTAATAACAACGCCACTGAAAGGTGAAGGCTTTGAAATGCACAGCTTCTAAACTGGGTAAAATAGACATTGCTCCTCGACTGTATTCTGGAGTGGTTTTTCACCATTTTAAGGCTTGAGAGGTAAAGAAATTTGGAAATTCATCAGTAGAGGCCATTGAGTCCACGCTTCGTGTGTCCCTGTCAATACCTGTCAATATCCCATTGCTACATGCAGGGAAATAAACAACATGTAGGGTACTGTGAAACAGGTTTGAGGATGCACAGTAATTGGACTGAATTTAGTCACCATTTTCATATCTTGATTCATTTCGCACCTCGAGTAATATAGTCATTTATCACACTGGCTCTTGCAACCTTGCTCTGTGTGAATTCAGCTGCTATGTTATCCAATGTCACAATAGTAACTGCACTTCATTGGCTGTGAAGGATTTTGGGACACTCTAAAGACATGAAAGATTCTTCATTCTTATTGGTTCAAAAGGGGGTAGTAATACTGGGGTGTGAATAGGCCTCTACAGGCAAAAGGGGAAAGTGACAGCATGTTGTTTAGAGAGAAAAAGACATTTGGATTGTAGCCATTATTACTACATAAACAAACATAAAACAGACAATTTGCACAGGATAAGACACACTAACTGTAATGGCCGAGATGGCCCAATAATCTGTTTTCACAATGTTTTGTTGATGGATAACTGTTAAAGTGATTTCTGCTGTATGCGTGGAAGTTCAAGACCAGTAGAACTAATCCATTTATCTTCAGAGTTCAATTTAGTTAGCTCTGACCATATTTACCCTCCCTGTTTACCTGAAATATGAATCTCTTTACAGATACTGACTGACCTGTTGTTTATTGCCCCTCATTTGAGAATTTCAGCAACCCTATTTTTATTTGGTTTAATTTTCTTGTTTGCACACTCTGCAGTTCTCAAGGTGATCTGCCCTTCAGCCAGGAATTGAGCATGAAAACTAACAAGGGGCTTTAATTTTAAGGTTAGTGTTTTACCAAGGGGTGAGTTTTCTCTACAAGATCCTGCAGCATGTTAATCACTGTCTTTCGAGAGGGAACAGGGTATCTTGGCTTCATATCTGAACGTATGTCAGGCCCGTTCCAGGGCCTAATCCTGCGAGTTCCTGAAGTCCAACTGCTTCCATAATGTTCCCAATGGCAGCCAATTAACAGGGCAACCCCTGGAGGCCCACTAATTGAGGAATTGGGTGATTATTTGGATAGAAATGGTTTTCAGGGGATATGGCAGAAAGGCGGGAGATTAGCACGAGGTTACGGACCGGTGTGGCGATAGTGGGCTGAATGGCCTCCTTCTGCTCCAGAACAGTTCTGAGATTCTGTGGGCATTTGGCAGGGGGCGGGGGGGGGGGGGGGGGGGGGTTGGGTTACCTGACCATCTCCACACCTGATACGTCCACAGGGATGGACGCCTGATGGGCACCTCTGGATGAAGATACCCTCTGAAGACTTAAAATTTAATTTTGACAATGGCCAAGGAGACAGCATTGAGCCGGGAGGGCTGTGTCATGCTAGCACCGAGGGTGGGAAGGAAGTTTAAGGAGTCTTCACTGACACTCTCCAACTTGACCTTCTACCTCAATGCTGCCTTCAGGAATGCGTCAAGTTTCAGGCTCAATAGGAGGTCCGTATGGCAATAATAAAATTCCATGGCTCTAACAGGGCATTAGATTGCAAATAATTAGCTACCCTCTAGCACTATTGTCTGTCTCACCCACCTTCCCAGCAAGATTCCTCAGGTTTTCTGTTCCAACATACATATTTGAAAATTTCCCTGTCTTTCTAAATCTACCTCCAAGCGACTGATAAAATTCAGCCATTGGTGTTTTCTGCATAGAGTTTGCAATTAATAACTACTATGAGAATGGTGAAATTTTTTTTGACAAACCTACTGGGTCTCAAGACCTATGCTTGAAATCCCTGAGTCAGTAGTTTTGATCCTATCTGCTAGTAATGAGAGTTGAATATCAGATTTGAGTAAATGAACCCAAGTCCTATGGTTAGCTATTTAATTTTAAAAATATCTAAAACCAAGCCAACAATGAAGTTCCTGCAAGAAGTAAGTCAGGACTAAATTGATTCTCAGAAGTCACCATGCAATCATATCATTGGCACCTTTACTCTGCCAGAACTGCACGTGTAGAGGGGGCAAACGGGTGTGTAATAAAATCCCCATGAAAATGCTCCTGGGGCCCAAGAGGTGAAAGGATGTATCCCTGAGCCTCACAGATATGATTCATAAGAAATAGGAGCAGGAGTAGGCCATCTCACCCACTGATCCTGCTCCACCATTCAATAAGATCATGGCTGATCTTTTCGTGGACTCAGCAGCTCGATTTACCCACTACCTTCCCCTTCCACCCACAGCTCCCCCAGTCACCTACCCCCCAAACCTCTCGCCCTCCCGTCCCAATCACAGAATGTAAATTACAGTGCCCTAAGTGTTCACCCCTTGCAACCATACCTGGCATGATGATCTCTGGAAATCCCAACTTCCTGGCTACCACTGTGTTCCTGTCCACAAGGTGTGGATAATCCTTCCTGATCTGTGATACATCGCCTACCAGCATTTTCATGGTAACCCACAGACCTGAGAAAGGAAACAAGTGTTCAACAATGACTTGTTATGTACTTGCAGAGCAGGTCAAAACGGCTGTACCCAGTAGGTGGCCACGAGACTGGCAATTTTTGAATAGTGGTTTGTCCATGCATTTCTAGATGTTCATATCTGGGGGAGACTGTGCACCTGCAGATGTTTGCACTGGATCAAACGTCTGCAGGTTCTAATGTAGTCAGACAATCTGTAGGCATGAGGTAAATCCAGTCAGTTATCACATTGGTAATGTCAATTCTGTGTTTGTTTCTACTATTCGATGCTTGTTTATACAATAAGAGAGAATAGGTTAAAACCATTTGAACAGCAAGCCCAAGGCAGAACAAAATAATGATCTAACTGCTAAAACTCTCCTTAAAAATAAAGCAGAAAATGTTTGAAATACTCAGCAGTTCAGCCAGCACCTGAGGAGAGAAAAACAGAGCTAACATTGCTACTCAATGACTTTTCATCAGGTGATAGGCATTTGACCTGAAAAGTTAGCTTTGTCCCATGGTCTACACCTGCAGTCTGACCTCCTGAGTATTTCAATGTTTTTGTTCTTTTCTTTCTTTCAAAGCTCTTCGTCAACTCAACAAAATAAGTGACAGCCTATCACTGGTTTATTTATCAAGGCAAAGTCCTGCCCAATCACCGTAAATTTGCTGGTTTAAAATGTAAACAAAACCTGGCAGTTAACTGTCAATCATCATTCACCATAGCAATGCCTCCATTATTCAGCGTGCACTTGCCAATTAATCAGCACACTCTTCTCATGTAGTATAGATAGTGGCTTTCCCCTGGTATTTTTGAAAATTGTCCTCATAAATGCGAGATGCAAAACTTTAACAACATGTCTCAATTTTCATCAAAATTCAAATTCTGTACAAGTAAATGATTATTTTCTGTTTTGGATTAGATTACAAACATCTGCAGTGTTTTGTTCTAGTTCTAAAACTTATTGTTTCATTAGCAATATGTCTTCATAAAGAAATAATAAAGGCAAAGTGATTACTTTACTATTGACATTTTGTTTAAATGTGAAATTATAATGTGATTTTCTATGCTGCCCTAATTATGCAATGAATATGCAATTTTAGTTGAAAATTGCTTTTATAATGAAACATTTGAAAGAAAACTTATCACAGGTAATCTTTTAAATGCAACACATGAAATAATTATTTTGACGTGAATTTTTCTATGTATATTTTTGATCATATTTTAGTTCACTCAACCACTTCAGTTGTGGCTTTGTGTTTTACAAAACATCCTGTAATTGTTGCCATGGAGCCTCTCTGGGTGAGATTGTACAACTAAAGATTATTAACATTGTCCATTAGTTCAAAGGTTGCAATTCAAACGCGTTTAGCACTGTTGTCTTCATTGTTCAGACCTTTGAGTGTAGCAGTTGGGACATTACATTGAGATTGTGCAGGACGTTGATGAGGCCTTTTCTGGAGTACTCTGTCCAGTTCTGGTCTCCCTATTATCGGAAGGATATTATCAAGATAGTTCAGAAGAGATTTACCAGGATGTTGCCAGGAATGGATGGTTTGAGTTATAAGGAGATGCTGGATTGGCTGGGACTTTTATCTCCGGAGCACAGGAGGTCGAGAGGTGACCTTATAGGGATTTATAAAATAATGATGGGTATAGGTAAAGTGAATGGCAGGTGTATTTTCCCTAGGATGGGGGTTTCAAGACTAGGAGGCATGTTTTTAAGGTGAGAGGAGAAAAATTTATAAAAGACATGAGGGACACATTTTTTTACACAGAAAGTGGATTGTGTGTGGAATGAACTTCCAAAGAAAGTGACGATGCAGAAATGTTTGGAGGGATATGGGCCAAGCGCAGGCAGGTGGGGCTAGTTTAGTTTGGGATTATGGCCAGCATGGACTGGTTGGACCGTACTGTATAACTCTATGACTCTGTGACTAATAGTCAATGATGCTAAATGGCATGTATATATAAATATCACAGTTTTTAATTACTGACTTGTTTTGCTCTACATGTGACTTAAATTTACCACATGACATCGGATCTTAGGATTTGTGAAAAGTCACACAGTCACTCCCGCACTCTCTTTGTCCTACCATTGGTGCACAAGCCTTCAGTTGCTTCAGTCCTAATCTCTATTATTGCCTCCTCAAACATCTCTGGTTTTCTCCTTGTAGAGGGTGCTAAATACCCTTTCTCCTTGACCAAGCAGTGTTCTAATATTTCCTTCTTTAGCTCCCTGTAAGTATATAGGATCCCTATGAAACATCCTGTGCTGATTTACACTATGAAAGGTGCTACATAAATTCAAGTTGCTATTGTTGTTGTCAGCAGGCCAGAGCTGATTCAATGCCCAACACAGGTCAGGAAAAGTGATGGGGTATCCTAAGTTTTCCCTTTTCCCTCAAATATCCCCACCCAATCCCAGTAACAGGGAATGGATCCAGTTGTCTCACTCCTTGCTCGGGCGGGATATCCGAGTGCAGAGAGAAGCTGGTCAGCCTTTCTACCGGGCTCGGCTGGGGAGTTTGCAAAGGTGTTATCATTACTCATCGATTCTGCCAAGGCACTAGAGAGAGAGCTGGAGACAACTCTATGCAGCGCACTGACTCAGCGAGAACAAATTGGTTTCATAGATCATGGAAAGTCAGGCAGAAAAGATGTGCTTTCACCTTGAATGTCTGCGAAGGCGGACAGGACACCAGACATGGAAGCTCTTGCACGACAGTTCATTTAAGTGACAGATGGCTTTCTATGGAATGACACAGACTTTAAACAGAGAGTCACACTGTGAACTCACACCAAAAAAAAAGCCAAACAATTGTTTTGACACTTCTGTTGCTTCAATGATGCATGGAGTTATGTTTTATAGTCGCTGCAAAGGAACCTCAGGGAAATTAGAAAGTGGCCCATGGTGTGCCTGTGTTTGTTAACCTGACTGGTGATCATTTTTTACTCTGTCTTCTTTCTTCTCTCTTTATCACACAGAGTCGGTTCCAAATATTTTTAAAACAAAATACTTTTTTGCAACCATCAAACATTGCAAAGTCAGCTCGACAGTAAATGGATCAAACAAATCTAAATGTGGAGGTCAACCTGGAACAGGGTGGTGGTGTTCCCTCAGAGACGGACCAGGTATCACTTACGCGATCACGGTCTTCACACCTCGTCGCACGGGCAAAGCGGCCAGTTTGACGGGTGGGGTCGGTGGGAGGTTCTGCCCCAACCAGGAATTCCCTTGAGGCCATTCAGCTCTCCACTCTCTGCAACCCCAGGAATATCATCCAGCCTCTGCTCAGAACAACCACCGCCTCGTCGCCGTCTACACCAGACCCAATTAACGGAGAAATCGCCAATCCTCAGATGCCATCTTTCACTGCTGGGCTGATTGACCTCCTCCACTACCTTACCATTGCCTGTGCCGGACCCACCAATGTTGGTTTCACGTCTCTCGCTGCTAGGCCCACCTCGTCAATGTCACCGTGATGCCCTTCCGCTTGGCCAGCGCTGGGCCCAACCAACGTTGAAGTCGCTGATCCTCAGACACCATCTTTCGCTGCTGGGCGTACCTCGCTGATGTCGTGTTTGCTGACGTAGCAGCCACTGATTCTGAGATTCTGTGCTCACATGCCCTGATGAGTGAGGGTTAGCGTTGGAAGGTTGCCTTTGAAGAGGGCTGCCAGACAGAAGGTTGGGTCTTAGGCATCTCTTTTAGGCTTCTCAAGTGCAATCAATGTTTGCCACCTAATTGCTGCTAGCAATGTGCTTTTATTGAACCTTATGTAGTGGTGGTGTCCGTACCTCTGAGCCAGGAGGCCTGGGTTCAAATCCTACCTGGTCCAGAGGCATATAAGAACATTTGTGAATAGGTCAGATTAGAAAGTATCTGCAGCTGCTAAGGCAGCACAAATGAAATGACAACAGCGTTGCCTCACACATCTGCCAGGCTTCACATTTCACACTTAGAACACTGAGCACATCATCAGCTTACTGATTTTTATAACAGCTCAGAGGACGTGCAAATCCGACAGCTTTTCACCAAAAGACTTGTAAGTGACAAGACACAACAACAAAAGGTGGCTTCAGAATGAAAAACCCAAGTGTCTCAGGCATGCACACCATATAATGATTTATTTCTTTTCATCATCTCCAGCTCCTTGATGACATTAAGCCACATTTTTGATCAGAATCCATTAACGCCCAACTTGACCTCATGACCTTCCTCCTGTGGATAATGTACAATTGTAGCTCTGAGACCTGACACACCTCCCTATATCGATCAATACAGGCATGGTCTTCATGTACCCTTATGTACGTCTCTTAATGTTTCCCTCCTGTTGCAAGACAGGAACAGGCACAATATGGGGAAACATGCTCAGAATGGGGATAATGTAAAGTTCATGATCCCATGCAAGGATCAGGCTACAAACTTGACCAGAGAGCAAGGGAACATGGTAAAGGGGAGATTGGCTATCTAAAACCAGCTAAAGAGATAGCCTTCAAGCAGCTACTCCCAACTGCACATCAAGTAGCAACATGCCGTTCAAACCTTGGGTAAAGGTGGTGGCTTACTAACAAATCTTCAAGTTTTTCAATGCGGTTCCAGATCCCACTTCCAAGCTACAAGAAAAAGAACAGCCCCATCTCCCAGGTCCATTTCTACAAGCCATTGGAACCACAATTCTATGGAGGAAGAAATGGCCAAGGCCTCTGACACTCAGAGGATAGCTGGAGAACAGGAACCTGTTGACCCTGGGTACTGATGTTGAAAATCTAGGCTCAGCAGGTTCAGAGGAAAATCAGCGGGATTTCCAGCAGAGATGCCAGACACTACCTGCAAAGGGTGAAAGTATTTGATCAAGTTTTGAACGGTGTGGCTCTGTACACTTTTCACTGTACTCCTGTATCCCTGTACATGAGTCCAGGTGACAATAAAACCTAATTCTAATTCTAATTCTATCATGTGAATAACAGCTGTAGTCACTTTGGCAGGTAAGGCC